GGCCTTAGTGCCCAGATGGAATGGAAAAAAGTGAATGAAAAACATTTTTCTGATGTTATCTTATGTTTTTTTCTTATTCGATAAACTTCTGCTGGAATATATCTACCAAGAATAGAGAAAAATTTCTATATTTTAAGCGAATAAGTAGGCCATGCGGGGCCCTGTGACGACAGGGGCCCTGGGCACGGCCCCGTGTGCCTTTATGGTAAAGACGGCACTGGCTCTTCGGCGCGGCGATTATACGGAATTATGTCGCTCGCATTTATGACGTCTCGACCGCGCTCTCTGTAATGTTGCAGAATGCAACGCGCTTTGCTTTGTGCAAACCTCGGTCCAGTTGAAATCAAACGACCGCGCTCCGAGTATTACACTTAAATTCTGTTTGCTTGCGAACTTCAGTCGAAGCTCGGCTAGATTTCTATTGATGTCCGAATTTAATTATTCCCGATAATGCCATTGTCAAACGAATACGCTATCGGTCGCTTTTAGTATTTACTTATTTTGCAGGGAGCTTTATTAAAGTATGTATTATGCTTATTGAAGGTTTTTTTTTTACTTTTTATTATTAAAAGACCTCGTGAGTATGCTGTGATTTGTGATTTTCATAATAAACGCACAATTCAAGTTAATAAACTATACATTTTGCGAGTTGACACAAAACGAGTCCGCGAAACAAACAAAAATAAAACGCGTGCGTCGCAAAGAATCAAAGCTCATTCTCGATCGGTTTGCAATTTGCATTCGCTTCACTGAGTCAAAAGGGGGTAATAAAAAGAAACAAATCAAAAATAAATTTCAATCCAAAAATCGGGCCATCGGTTTTGCTTTTTATCGCTTATTGCGTTGCGAATCACCTCACGTGAGCTTAGACACCGGTTCGTTAAGACTGATGTCTAATTTGGTCCGCCGAGATGGATTCTCGCTGGATGGATTTCGCTTTTATCTTTTTTTATGGAAAAAGGAGGCCAACGAGCATGCGGGTGACCTGATGGTAAGCGGTCAACGCCATCCTTGGCCACTTGCAACATCGGTTGAGTCACAATTGCATTGCTGGCCTTTAAGGTAGGAGTAGGCTCTCTTCTTGAAGGTCCCTAAGTCGTATCGGTGCGGAAATACCGCTGGCGACAACTCCACAAAGTTAGTTCCACAAAGTAGCTGTGCGGGGCAGAAAATTGCCCAAATTATCGCGGGCGCAACGCCACGCTGCGGAGACGGAAGAGTTTATTTCTCTTTCGCTTACAACCTCTTTGTCTTCTGGTATCGTATCGTCATTTTGCCCACTCCAAATTTAAAGATTTCTTCGTGCTTAAAACTTTTAAACAGATTAAAGGTGATAAAGTCTGTGCAAATATCATTCGTGGGTTTTCTTTTATGTTATAGTATTAACTTGGTTCCGTTTTATTTTGAATATTGTCAGCAAATCAACAGTTTGTCAGCAAATCCACCAGAGTGTGTTGCTGATGTTATTTTGAGTTAAGTAACGAAGATGTCGTAACAGTTATTTTATTTCACTTAATCTTACAGTTTGGTTGCTTTGTTGTTCAGCGGTGGGCTTTCACATAACGGCCAACACAATAATGCTCAATCCCATCTTCGTTTATGAAACAGACGTAATTCATCCCGACTAAAAATAACAACACTGGCATTAGACAATTCTAAAAACGTGCAGCGAAACCTATCGCGAACTAAAGGTCAGCTTAATAAATAACAGTTCGTCGGCAGAAAATTGCACACTGCACCTCGCGGTGAGTGGCGTGTCAGGGTCGCAGACTGATGCATCAGCCATGGCATCGCCTTGGCATTAGTTGCGGCGACAATAATGCATTAGCGTAACGATTACTATTAACACGGATGCAACACTGTTGAATGACTCCGTACTTGTTCTCACAACGCGTTTCGTTTCGTTTTTGGGTACCCGATTTCCGAAACACTTCACTGCGTCCGTGGCCATTAAACGAGATAAAATCAGAAAATTATTTACCTTAATACATCCTTTAATACGATAATAAAATCCAAGTAAACCAGTAAAGTGATGACCTACTTTCTCCCGTCCGTTTCCGCACATTCATCTCGATTTTTATGTGCATTATAAAAGTACTTGACAAAATTTCCCTTTTCGATTTTTGTGTTTTTAAATCGACTGGTTCATACACTCAGACAAGTCAACGCACATCTTAAAGCGATAGGTCTAACAGCATGAATATGTGCTGACCACTACGTTACAACACGTACGAGAAAGCTTAAAAATTATTTTGAAAGTTCCGAAAATGTTTTTAAAAATTAGGGAGCTATACACCTCTTCAATGGCACTTTCATAAGTCATTATTCACTAAATTATAAAAATAAAGTAACAATTTATATATTATGTTCCACCTCTCGTGGACAAAGGCCTCCTTTGTACAGTTGGTATTAGGGCATAGTCCACTACGCGACTCCACTGCGGATTGGTAAACTTCACATATCTTCGAAATGTCAGCACTTACAATTTCATAGGTACCGGGATTTTAACGTAGGTCGCTCGAGTATATACATTAAAAGCGAGCACCTGGATACTCAGCAATCACGGCTCTGACTTAAAAGTATAATACGGCTTATATTGAAACGTAATTTTAAACGAAGCAACGGAAACCGCCTGTTAATGTGCAAAGCTCGAACATGTTTGGATTCGAGTAATCTTATTAACGTGGATTAAAATTTCACCCGAGCTCAATGCTCCATTCGTCCGACGATCGCTTCCACTAAACATTGTCGTTTAACGCCGCTAAGCGAAAACTGATGGGACGAGGGTATTGAAAGGCAAGACGGACAAACGGTTATTATTATGTAGGTTAGTTGGCTTGTAAGCGGCGTGCCGGAGCTGGCGGCACTATAATGCCGGCTTTATGCACGAACCAAGGTTTCTGCTCTGAAAATGTTCATAGAGCCGCTGGAAACGACAAAGGTATCGTGATAAGTTATCTGTATAAGTTTAAATACATGAAAGTATTTTACTCTAGCTATTACCATTCTACTTAATGGTTTGTGGTTGTGTATGCTTAAATGTAGTTTCTTATGGTTGTTATTTGATATAATCTATATCTCTATAATTTTAGACAGGATTAACTGTTATTTTATTTTTTATTTTAATATCACACAAAATCCACAGCCCTTTGTTACATCGTACGTACATCTTAATATGATCTAGAATTACAGCCAAAAACGGATTTACATTATTTAACTTTAAAATATACTTACTTAGTGTCTATGGTTTGATTTCTTGTTTTCTTTATGCGAATATTAAACATGGTAAAATGAAACTATTTTACAGATTTTTGACATTAACATTTCTTTATTTCAAAATGATGTAGCCATAGATAACGCAAACAATCATTGAGCATCAAAATATTTATTTAAATCGTTGGGTTCAATCAAATATATATATATATATATATATATATATATATATATATATATATATATATATATATATATATATATATATATTTCTACCGGTAATTGATTCATCACGATATCTCTGAACCATAAGGCGTAGAGACTTGAAATTTGGTAGGAGTATTCCTTTCACCGAGTAGAGCTCAGCTAAGAACGGATTTCACGAAATTCCACAAAATAACGTTTTTCGTGTCAGCTAGTAATACATAATTGTGATTGATGTACCCAGCCTCGTCACAGACTCACCGAAATGTTTTTTTTTTTTAATTTTCATTGGAAGCTTTCCTTTAAGCTTCATATTGTAATTGCGCTTGTAAACTTTACGACTACCCCGTCCCATTTATTTGTCGCTGCCCTTCGGGGTCTCGCCACTTTCCTCGAAACTTTCTTTTGTCTCGAGCGTCGGAGTTTTTCTACGGGCCCCCGTCTTAGCGCGCCCATTGTCAGGTTGAGCAGTAAAATAAACAATTTGCCCTCGCATGCATTCGCTGTATTGCTGTCCATCGTGTCTATTCATCGTGCGTATTGTTACCGGCTGGTGGCCGATAATGTTTAGTTACAGAGCTATCTCCCTTCATTGTTTAAACCAAGTTCACAACTAGGCGGCCAATCTCATCTCGCGTTCAGTTTTTACGGCATAGACAGAAGTGGCGTATGGCGCGATAGCGCGCCCGTTACGTTATCTGCGGCAACAAAAACCTCTTTGCATAGAAGCAAAAACTTCGCTCCGACAAAAACCCAAGTTGGCTCGAAGTCGAGTGGGGAGACGTATTGAGTCAGATTCCGTCTGCTAGTGCAGGTATGTTACCTGAAGTGCCGAATGTTATCATTATAAATAGGAAGGGTTACTTCACTCTAACGTTAACCACCAGTTATTTCAGGACATATTTCTACACAACGTTATCAAACTAAGCATATTATAGATGTATAAACACCCAGACACTGGAAAAACACTATGTTCATCACACAATATTTTTCCATAAGTGGGGCTCGAACCCACACCCTCGGGTGCAAGAGACAGGTACACTATCCACTACGGCACATAAAATCGGGCCGTCAAAGCGATGTATTTATAAGTATATTCTCGAAACGACCCACGTTGTATTAATTTGCCTTTTTTAATTTAAAGTTTCAAGCGTTGTCACTTAAATATCAAGTGTATTTAAAAAAATAGATTCTGAAATATTTATATCGGTAGATAATTTATTTAAATTAACGTGTTAAAAAGAGATTTATTATAAACGTAACTTGCATTATTCTGAAATATAGACAAGATAAGTAATGGATATTCGTTACATTCGTTCTTCGGGATTAGAATAATCTACTTCATCAGAAAAATGCTACATTCACGTATCGACTTTTGCGCGAAAAGAACATGTAGTGAAATTCGATGCGCTGTACCTGGATGGCCTAATATTACCCAGGCGATTCTGTCGTACTTAGTAAGACTGGAGAATTTGGTTAGGCTCTTTAAACTAAGGCAATGGTGTGCATATGAAAAATGTATATCTGAGCGCATAGGGGAGCCTTATCACCGGTTTTCTATTCCACTTAGTGTTGCTAACTTATCTATTCACGAGTGGATTCCGTTTTCCCACAATCCGATCGCGTTGCGCACACGACAGGGGCCCGGTTATATAACGAGCGCCGTAACAGAGCGTGCCCGATATCCCGGCCAGGCAGCTCGGCGTTGCGCCATCGTCCGCCGCGGCGGAGGCACGACCCCTCCACTGTCCTGCTAGCGCCGATCGCTATAGTACAGTCCGCTTCGTGAACCATACGTACTAACCGCCGCTTTTAATAGTCTATCTATTAGGCTTGGCTACTATCACTTTTGATGGTATCTGACATTAGCTGTATAGTACTTACGTCTTCTATCTCCAGTAACAAAACATACATCATCATCTACAGACATATGGAACTAAACGGCGGTTAAACGGCAAATACACGCCCCGGTCGAACAGAGCTGATCAAGGGCCTTTAGCCATTATAATAATCTTTAAATATAGTCCAAGTAATTGAAATTATGATTACTGTGTCGTACATGATTTTATATTCAAATTTAATTCAATTCAAAATACCTTTATTCAAATAGACGCTTGCGCGTTCTTATGAAGCGAATTTTACATAATAATTGATACATAATAAAATATACTTATGCACACTCAAACCACGAAAGCTTAATGCGGGCGCAAACAGTCGGTAAATCAATCCTATTGGGTTTAAATTGAAATATATAACTACTTACTATAACTTAGTGCGGTTCGAACCCACAACGAGAGGTACGTTTACAAACTCAACCACTGAGCCACTGCGGTTTCAGACTAAGGGAATTCCCGTGGCCTCATCCCGCATGTCCAACGGTAATCGAAACTGAATAATAACCAACGCATTCAAGTGGGTGTTTGCATAGAAACGGGCAATCCTTATCAGAAACTGTCGGTATAAATTTGTAGAGATGCTATCTGACGACGTATTTATGGGGTTACATTGAGGGTTTTGAAAGATTGCATTAGGTTATTGAGATTGTGTGGCATACCTAAATATCGCTAACATGCATTTGGTATGTTGTTTGTGCAATTTATTTGGTTACTGCAACAGGTCAGATTTATTATGTCAGAGGGACCAGTTTAACATTAAACAGTAAGCACACCAATGCATTCGTTTTCTTCATACCATTTTAAAGTTTATATTAAACATTTCTCTAATTGTGATTTAGCATTAAAACCACTACCATTTCCAGACTAGGAACAAAGATCAGGAACTTTTTGTATATTTGAAAGGCATTAGTGTGGCTCTTGCAACTAGTTATCGCTTTTTGAATAGACCCTAAACTAGACGTTATCGATCTACAAAATCTATATATTAATACGTGAAGCAAAAACTCTGTACCCCTTTTTACAAAAATTGTGTGGACGGAGAATGAAATTGCTTACACTCATAATTCATATAGAGGAGGAGCGCAGAATGCTAATATTTTGTTTAATTATGCATAAAAAATAAATTTAATCAACATAGAAAATATTACACACACTACCTTGTATTTGACACACGCATATATGCTCTTTTGTTTATTGTGTATTGTATTTGAGAATAGATTAAATATTGTTCAAACTAATAATTTAAATTAATTATGGTCGAATTTCAACTAATCGCCGTGCGCTTGTTATATAAATTACGTGATCGATGTTGAACCAAAATTATGTTCTTTTACAAATAACAACTTATCATATTATAATAACAATGAAACGGCACCCTTTTGCATGAGGAGAAAGGAAGGATAAAAAATTCAGTTGACGACGACAGATACGATGTATTGCAAACGTTACGACGACAACCTGTCACCTGTCACGCAGCCACTTTGGACTTTTGACCATCGATCTACATTTATTACGACACCGGTAATTTTTCCAATGCTCTGCTTATGCTTTGGAATGATTGTAATTCTGTGTCACAATGCTAAATGTGCAATATATTCAATGACCAGATTAGATTGCATGGCGTATATATACTTATAGCTACTGCGGATTTGTATTCTCCCAACGCTATAAATATCTGTTGAATTTCACGCTAAAACCATTCTCAAAGTGAAGGAAAGATGTTTGAAATTAAATTAAGTTAATAAAAGAACGCATGCTTCACCATTCTTCGTCTACCCCGTCAGCATTAAAACGCGTTTGGTTGTATGGGTGCGGGTTCCAATAATGTCACGTGGAATCCCATACGCGTAAATTCAATTTCCGAACGGCGGTTCCGAAGACGCGGATTTTGCGCGGGACTGTACCGCCGCGCGAAAGTGGGTACAGTCCACGGCCGCCGTGGGTCGGCGAATGCAAGGCCCCTGCACACTGTTGCAATATCTGCATTTGCACTCTAATGCAACGGCCGCCTTTCGGAACGATCTAGAAACTGCGCAAGGTTTCGCCTCGCGCCCGAACCCTTTGTTGTTTAGATTTCAGTATTACCTATTCTATTTATGAACTAACCACCACGGGAGGCACAATAATATTGTTGAATAAATGTTATAGAATTCAGTAATCATTTCAAACGTTAGACGGCAGTAAGTTACATATTATATAAAATAATAACGTTCGTGGTGAACAGTATTTTTATTACAGAGAACTGTAATAAAAATATGACCGAAAATATGATTTTTAATATTCTGTATTGCGTTTAATTTATTAATGGTTTGCATCGATCTGTGTTTAACAAAGGCGATTTTTTTTTTCACAATTTATTTTAGATTGCTGCTGAGCCTAAAATGCTTTTAAATCCCAATAGTTATTATCAGGATTATTTGTAATATAACTATTTCGTTAATCTCTCTCATCTCTGAATTAAAATCAGAGTGGGCGAGACGAACTGCTTTAAAGCCACAGACCAAGGGTAATTTAAACTGCAGTTCCTTTGTTATTTAACTAATCTATATGGATATATAGAGTCGTTTTCTTCCTAGAAAATTTTCAGCTATATCGTGATGAACAAACAACTTGTAAAAATTGGCCAAAAATATGTTAATGTATTTTGAATAGTATAGTGTAATATTTTAATATGTGATAATTAAAAGGGTACTAGTTCTATACACTATTACGGCACTCTTGTAATATGCAGTTTTTTACTTTGGCGTACAAAATATGAAAATTTATTTATTAAAAAATATATTTCTTAAATATAACAAGTTATATATTTCAAATTGCCATGGCGACATACCTGGCTCGATATAATTACTTGTGATATATCGTTGTGAAACAATATTTGAAATTGCTTGTGTGTTTATTTGAAAACTAAATGTGCAAAGCATTGCTTAAAATGCGAAAATATAATACGTTGAAATTTCGTCGGTGTGGCAATCCCCCGCTTAGTTTAGTAGTTAAAACGTCTGGGTGCGAATCTGGAAGACGTATGTTCGAAGCCCACAGCGTTGAACGACTTTGTCCATTTTTTCTACAAGCTTTAAAGAACCAAACGTCTTTACTGCCTGTTCGTGGTGTAGTTATGATTTAACAAAAATATAAATATCGTCGTCAGCCGTCGAAGCGGTGCTAGTATGAAAGGCGAGCCTTTGCGAGCACTAAGCGCGGTAATCGGTCTCCGCCGCGAGACTGCAACGCGTCGGCAACGTCACAACGCTCACAACCGCGTAACGTTCGCAACATCACAACGCTCGCAACCGTGTAACGTTCGCAACCTCGCAACGTCCGCAACTTTGCAACGCCGCGACAACTCCGCGCGAACAATGCGACGCTGTTGCAGCTGTAACTAGATCCAGCAGGCGGCCATTACGCGGGAAAATGGCAGTTTCGCGACGCGCGCGCCCCACAATGCCGCCAGCGAGCGCTTCAAAGAAACGCGGCATTGTGCCCGTGTTTACACTGGCACAGTTAACGCTAAAGGTTTACACAACAGCGCTGAAACCCTAATTGAAACATGACCGCTCGGAATATGTTTTACGCAAACCGCGGCCCGTCCACGGTGTAAACAAATTGAACGACACGTCGGAAATATTTAATGGAAGGTCGTTTGAAGAATGATTAATGGTTTGGAACTTAATTAACGCAAAGTGTGATTGACCTTCTTGTCAATGTTTATCATGAATCATAATGTTTGAGTGAGAAAAGTAACACTGGCAGAAAAAAGGTGGTAGTTATAAAAAGACGTAATTATGTTCTTACTAATTATTTACATATTATATATATTGAAACACATTGTTTGTGCAGTTTGTATTGTAACCTCTTTAACAATTTAAATTTTATAATAATACAAAGAAGAATATTTCAAATATCGAATCAAAAAAGGCTCGAGGAATAAAAATTAATGATTTCTTAAAAATATGGTATTTATTATAAGTAGTTTACCGTCGCGGTACGTTACCACAATATCAAATTTGGTAATGAATGAATGGTGACACGCATCCCGTACGTCTATACCCTCAGTAGTATAGTCGTATCTATTTTCGAATTATTTTGCCGCTCAATATCCGAAGGCAAAGTGCCAAAGATTTGGAAACACGCATATATCACACTTGTATATAAAAAGGAGACATTTAAAAAATAATAATACATAAAAGGTTTTCACAACATGGATTTCTAAAAAACAGGTCGGCTGTGACATATTTAATACTCTCGAATTTATACTATGCTACGTAACTATAATTTATACTATGACTATAGTATATTACATAACTGATTATGGACAATGGATTGACAATATTATTATACATGGAGACCTACTTCGTTGGTTCGCCTCATATAATGACAACAAATCGCAAGCACTTGTACTTAATGGATACAATATCTCGGCACGATTACCTATTACCTTACGAGTTTCTCAAGGGTCCTTGTTAGGACCTTTGCTCTTTAATGTTTTTGTTAATGACATAAAGAGGTGTTTTATGCACTCTAAGGTACTTTTATACGCCGATGATATGAAAGTACTTCCTGGTGAGTGGGGAGGACACATTATTGCTTAAATCAGATCTATAAAGATTTTAAGTACATAGTAGGCGTACGTTATACACGCAATGTTTTTGTTATACAAAGCAATAGTGTGATGACGGTCTAAATACAACACTTTTTTCAATCACTCTCTCTCACACACCAAGTATGACATAAGGAACATTAAAAAAAAAGGTCACACTGCATAAAAAATCAACGCCATGGATATCGATAGGCCCGACTCGAGTGCAGCAATTCTCGCTTCCCATACCTTTCCAGCGATGAGTGAATGATGGATCTATACGATGCTTGAGCATTACACGCACACTTTACATTCGACCTCTATTACAGAATGCATAAGTGGAGCGATTCCGTATTGAGTATTACAGGTATAGTAGTTAAAGTCTGGTGACGTGAAGCTACTAAAATTAAAAGCGAGTTGTCGTTATCCTACATTCCGTCCGGTAATTGAGGTAACTGGGACCGTACCTCTTCTAGGTTGGTACCAGTGCACGGAATTAACATCAGATGAACTATCTTGTTCTCTATCTACTATTAGCCATCAAACACTGTCTTGATTTCGAAAGAATAGTCAATTCTAAGTAGGTCTTGTCACATATTTGTCATTAGTCAATTCATGGCAATGTTATATTTCTTGCATCTTCTCTCTGATTCTTCTCAATCGTTGTGCCCAGTAACTGGGCGGTTATTTTCCGAGCGTTGGAGCAACACGCTCGTTCTTAATTCAAATCCATTAAAAGCGAATAGTAAAAAGTCATGTCTGTTGTATCTAGTTTCATGCCTCATAAACTGTTTTAATTAAAAAAGGGAAACAGTGCTCGGTTTTAACGATCACGTCATCCAAGTTTCTGTTTTACGAATTATACGCCGAGATAAGGTCTCTCGTGGTTAAGCCGCGGCAAAAAAGAGATTTTTTTAATGGAGATCGGCGTCAATCGAAGCGTGTGTAAAGCAGAATGCTTTATACGTCTCACAAGCTAACTATGCCTGTTCCAATTTCATCCGAATCCGCTTAGCCGATACGTGAATAATATGGCCAATCCGCTCCTGTGGGCTTTTTTCACGTTAAACGTTGAAAATCCAGACGAACAGCAAAAGAAAATCTTGAAACCCTTAATTAAAGAGTAAATATTATATGTTATCTAGTCCCAAAGTAAGCAAAGCTTAGATAACTATTAAATACACATTAAATTTGTAAATAAATTAACATTGTAGTTAAATAAACACCCAGACACTATAAAAACACCATTTTCGTCAATGTTTTCCAGTATTTGCGATTAAACCCACACTCTTTGGAGCAAGAGATCGATTCACTGTCCAGTACGCAACGGGTCGTTAAAATTCTCACGATTGACTTGTTTTAACCTTAACAGAAAATATCCTTCAAAATATCGAACATGTCGTGCTGTTTCAGCGTATTAGGAAACACATACAGTAAACCAGGCAAATTTAATGCATACATATTTTTCTTCATGTCAAGTTCCTAGTCATATAAAACGTATAAATTACTACATAGTATAAAACAAAGTCGTCCCGCTGTCAGTCTGTCAATATGTACGCATAGACTTTACAACTACGCAACGGATGCCGTTTTTTTTTTTAACTAGATAGAGTGATTCAAGAGGAAGGTTTATATGTACGGTGGTAGAGCCACGCAGCAGTCTCGGCTGTTGCACGAATGTGCAGGCTCGTCCAGGTAAGTACCACGACCTCACAGAAGACCGGCGTAGAGTGGAAGTATAATACTTTCGCGTTTCGTCTGGTGAGTGAGGTGGCTAGAGACCATTTTCAAAAGGCTGTCAACGCATCCGCAATCCTCCGGTTTAGCAGACGTCTATGGGCGGCGGTATTCACTTAACATCAGGTGAACCGTCTGCTCGCTTGGCAACTTTTCACATAAAAAAAATATAATACATTGCACCCGTACGAACCCGGATAGGTCGCAATAGTAGTATAACATTAAATAGTCAGCTCACGATAACTTTTGCGTCGCATATATTCCTATTCAATACACTAAATGTCTATATGGTTATAATATTATACATCAAATTTTATGTGAAATATGAATGAATAACTAAGCGCAATCGTTCTTAATGCCAACGATATAAAATAAATAATAACACACTTCACTAACCGATCGCTTACCGCGACAAATACTCTGAAGTGGAGTTACGGAATCTCAGGAGTCCAACGATGTTCATATTTGACTAGGTACGGCTAGCAAGAGCGGTCAGCGTGGGCGAAATATTTATTTATGGAAGCGGTACGGACGTTCTTAAAAGACTACTTGTCGAACGTGTAGGTAGATACCTGTAAGTAGCAAGCTCGTATATTGGTATTAAATTGATTTTTTATAGCAAAAGGTGACTAAGAGCAAGTAATTCACCTGACCATAAGTGATCGTCTCCATCATTTGGTTGAAGTTAAGTGCCTTAATTTAAGTAGTGAGCCCCGGTTAAATCATTTACAGTATGAAATGCAAAACAATGAATACTATTACTAGCGAAGAAGACTAGCGTTAGGTTTGCTACCATACGATACTTCACACGACTGCCTGGCCCATTCAAATACAGCTACTGCGTTAATTGTTTGGTATATTACCTTCGTACATATTTGAAAGAAAGAATGCAAATAAAATTTTTAACCAACAAACAAATACAACTAAATTTATCAAAAATAAAACAAATAAAAAAAATATTTGCAATACATAATATGGTAAACGAAACAATATCTATACATATTCAAATATAAAAGCGGTAAAATAAAAAAAAATTCAATAAATTAAACGTTAAACGAAAATAATTGATTATTCACCCTAATATCGGTAAATTAGGTCAACAGCTCAACTGCTGTGTCAGAAGTAAAAGCTTACGTTTTAGTCAAAAGATTTTCAGTGCTGACCTTTATGATAAGTGGAGTTTTATAATATGTGTAGAACAACTTTTATCCAATATATTCCAACTGTACTATATCTGGGCTAATGAGATCTTGACTTTCCTAACATGTAGTTGTTAAACCATCATCCTGACAGAAATCCCTTCACAAACTGCCGACTCCAATGGAAACGATGTCGGTTTGACTCTGACAGATGGTAATTGTATTAGCCAGCGACAAAGCGCTATCCGATAGGCACCCACGATATCGGTGCTCTAGTGGTGTTTGCGAGCAAACTTTGTGTCGGAAGACAAACGGTATTAGAACCATGCGGTTGGCAAGGTGCGTCCCTCACTGCTAGGCGAGTTCCTACCCTATGCCAATGGCAAAAGACCCAAACTTCAATTGAGCCCTTCAAAACTCCTCGCGGGGTGAGCTCAGCTTTGACTGGTTTATTAAGTGAACTATTGAAGCCATCCAAGACGCTTCTCGGGGCGTATGAACTCCAATTGAAATCTAATACATATTTGATTGAACATAAAAGATTGAATGGCTCTGTGGACTTTTAGACGTTTTCTATAGAGACTATCATATTTAACTCCTATTTATTCACACGCATGCATTAAAATTGTCCGTTCGGTCGAGAATTCCTTTAGAGATCTCCAAGCCATTCGCAGCTGTGACACCTCTTAAGGTTGTTTAGCGACTTGGAATATCATGCAAACATTTAATGCCTTGCGCGGTTTTATACGAAAAGTGAACTTCCAATATCATAACCTATGTATGCTTGTATGCTTTAACGGAAAGAACTTTGTGGATCATTTCGTTGAAAAATTTCAAACTGTGCAATGTAATTAACACCACCGAGGTTGGAATCAGATTTCGAAATGGAGAAGATCATAAAAGGGTTCACATTAATAACATGAAAAGGAGAGCACTACACGAGGAATACAATCGTCTCGTTTGTTTACGTTTTATGAAGTAAACGCACTAGCTTACTAAAGCCATTTTGGAGGACGCTTATTGTAATGCGATAAATCTATATAATCATAAATAGGTCACTGGAGAATTACCGACTGATTCACGTTTTCGATAACGTAAGTATGAATGAGGAGCGAGCCGATTGGGCGCGGGGTCGTTGACCCGTGGGCCGCGCCGCCGACGTGTGCGCTTCCACCAATTAAGCGCCCCGCAACCTGTTGCGTCTATTCGGTCACGCGGTTGGACCGGGCAGCTATCGGCTGTAAATAGGCCCTCTGCGTGCGACTATACTTTCGCGACGAGCCGCGAATTGTCGTGTCAACGAAACATTCAAACTTATGACCATGCCTGTACCTGTCGATGTCACACTTTGGCGCAGGTATCGTCGCACAGACAATTCGTAAGAGTCGGAATGTGACCAAGCATGAAAGCGAATGAATTCTCACAGCCGAATGGAATCTCGCTAGTGACTGTTGACGCGGTCGTCGTGGGAAACGTGATTTGTCGGTATGAGGCAAACTCTCGGCCGGGCGCTGCTTACGCGATCGTCGGTGACGTCACGCGTGACGTCACGACATATCGAGATTATAAATAGCGGCGAGTCCGCGACTACCGTACTGTTTGCAACACACGTGGCCGACATCGACGCGTGCTTTCCAACGAGAACTTTGGAGGTCAAGTGTAGTCGGCTTATTTATATATACGGCGCTGGCTCCTGCGGGGGCGGTCATTAACTGGGTCGCGGGGGCAAAGACCCCGTCCACCCGCCGGGGAGGCCGGGGTTTCGCTTTCCCGACGCACGGCTCTCGTCGGATTTCCTCGGCTTTCCCCGGCTTCTGCGAAATGCGTCGCTTGTTCGAGGAACTCGGAAACCTTTGCCTTTCACTCTTCGACTTCACCCCGAGGGGATTTGCTTTGGCCTCGGGCGGTAGTACGGCGACAGGCCAGGCCGTTGTTTATAGCGTTTCAAGGTTTATTGGAGTGTTTTTGGTGCTAAATTGATGTGTTTTTGGTGCGAAAATGCCGATTATGCGTACAGTCTTGCGTTGAAGGAAGAATAATAAAAGTCATTATAGATAAGCCAGACTCAGCACAGAAATGGGATAGTATTTTTGTGTTCTTTTTAGATTATTAGTTATATTGTTTGTAAACGTTACGCTTGTTTACGCTTTAAATACTGAAGATGGGTATTATTTTGACCTGGTGCGTACGCTAATAGGGATGCTAAATGAAACCACAGCGTCGTGTTAACGGTTCGCCCCTGCCAATCTAATTTACTGGGTATCGGATGACGAATATTTGGAAATTGCTTTGCTTTAGGTACTATGCCTTATGTACAAACATAGTATGATCTAAATCGACCGTAGCGCCCCCTAGTTACAACAATATAAACTGATACATAAGCACTTTGAATTATAGTGAATCGTAAACACAGGGTGATGGTCAGGTCGGCGATACAACTCAGGTGTTAACTATCGCTGCTCATGGCATATCATCGATAACGTTCTTGGACTTGCAAACGCTTTGCCAATCTTTACGAAGCTGAACGTCTTTTGTCTCACTCATTTCAATAAATGCAAAAGTGTAAACTCGCTGGTCTTCTGTGAGGTCGTGGTTATACAGTATTATTATGCAGTGTAAGCAATTAAAATGTGTACCGGCTTTTAGGGTCCAACTGCGTTAACAATATTATACGTCACTTAGTTATGGAAATCAGCGTTTCGATGATCCCCGCGCGACATCGTCATCGCAACTGCGGCGAATCTGTATCGCACAACCTGTCTGATAATCAAAATTTAATCTTATGCCCTCGCTTTAAAGTAAATTTTGCAAAGCTTGCTAAATAGCCCTTGCTAGCGGAGCTTTGCGTATAGTGGCGGGGATTTAAAACTTAACACCTTGACTTAGGGTGCATTTCGAAACGTCCTGAGCCGTGGACGGCCTCAAGCCGGCTTGAGTTATAACTTGTAAACAAAAGAATACATATACATAATATTTCATAGCTGCTTTATTTGGAGTAGTACGCAATCCGGTCAGGCTGCACCATACGTAATACCCACGTGTTATGAAAACAACAGACAATATCGTATTATATATATATATATATATATATATATATATATATATATATATATATATATATATATATAGAGATATATATATATATATATATATATATAATACATATATATATATATATATATATATATATATATATATAAGAAACGAATAAACGATAGCACGGCTTGTTGTTCGACACCTAAGATAGACCACACAGCATAATTGAAAGACGTAAAATAAAATGTCTGTTTTTAACTTTCTCATTTACCAATTTTTATCCAAAACGGTCCACATGTGCCCGTAACGTGGACATTTTAAATTCAGAACGAAACGCGACACGACCCGTGCAGTTTGTTTGAAGCTGTCTCGAACAACACTATCCGAATCAGGAACGTAAACATTCGAATAGAGAATAGAGAAAGAAATAGAGCCGGTAAATATCCGAATGAGCCGAATACTCATCTCGTGCGCCGTCGCAAAAACCCACTCCACAGAGCGTCGCGCCCCCGGCCCGTGATTAATACTCCCACGCCGCGTAACCGCGTGGCTGCTACAAATGGATGCGTCATTAGCCGTTAGGGCAATAATACACTGCGGCGTTCCGCACTAAGATCGTGAACTATTCGGATAGGTTGCGCCGGAGAATTAACACGGAGCAACCGCTGGGGCAATCTGAATCGTTGTCATCGAAAAAATGTAAGATTTACGAAAAATTTCGAAACCGCAAAAATATCCGTAAAATAGTTTTATGAATATTTTGAATCGCATTTAAGGCCGTAAGCTAGTATTATTCAAATCTGTGTTATTCATGTCAATAAGCACTATAGTTTCATAGATTTTATATGCCTTTAGAGATCGAGGCTATCTCCCACACCACACGCAACGCAGCTTTACTCATCTTTTGCGGTAAGGTACCCGAAAGGAGCCGTGCAGGATATCGTCGGAGGCCGCCGCGTGTTTCACAGCAAACAGTCGAGGTAGTCGATTCCGGTAGGGCCACGCTGCGTTTTCTGATGTTGCCTGAATGTAAAGGCCGGGGAATTACCACAGCCCAGACCAGGGCATGAAGTGGAAGTATATGCTTTCGCAAGAATTGTTTCAAGATAAACAGATACCTAACGTTAACTGTGGTAGGGCCACACAGCAGCCTCGGCTGTTTTCACAGATGGGCAGGCTCGTCTGGGTAAGTACCACGACCTCACAGAAGACCGGCGCGAAGTGGAAGTATAATACTTTCGCGTTTCGTCTGGTGAGTGAGGACATCTGCAAACCCTTAGGTGTAGCAGATGTCCGTGGGCGGCGGTGTTCACTTAACATCAGGTGAACCGCCCGCGCGCTCGACAATTTTTCACATGAGAAACGTGGTGTGGCCTCCACCCGGCATAGGTGGCGCGGCGTGCGTAGGGGCGACGCGGCCGGTTGCGGCAGGTCAGTGCTCGCTGGTGCTACGTATCGCGCCGTCACGAGCACTCGCCAACTCCCCGGCTGGCTTTTACCGTAGCGCCGTTGGAGGCGGGACGCTTTTTGCGAGCGGACCGCGCACGCTCGGCTATGTCTCGCCGGAGGATAGAGGCTCGACTCGGCACGCTGGGAGTGGACACATTTCGGCGCTGTCAGCTGACGTTACTTAGAAGCTATATAATACAGTATAAAAAATGTTCGTGTTTGTTCTCTGTTTGGCTCTTATTACGGGACATTTTAGAAGTTACGACACTAAAGGACTCGCTTTAGAAGTCACTTTAGGGCTGTAACATATATTAAATTTATAACAAAACATTTCACGAGCACCAATGATTTTAAATGTTCAAAAGGACACTTAATACTTCTAGAAAATGTTCTTTTAGTCACATTGTACTTGAGTAAATATGTGATATTGGCTAACTTTTGAAGTGTCTTCATACGTAGGTAGGAAAGCTGCTTACCAGAGAAATTGAAAAATTTCGTAGACATGTAAAGTCTTACCGCAACTGCTCCGCTGTTGACTGTACCCTAATATCCTTTGTACGGGATGTGCAGGGTATTAGTATGCAGGCAAATTTAATCACGCACAGAGAATATAGAAGAAGGCTACGCCTAGACTAGACTTTACATTTTAAGAGTCTAAAGACGGACGATGTTATATAGATATAAAATGTGTGGTATGCAATGCAGCCGTGATAGCTCAGTTTCCGGGCGCTCGCCTTTAATACAATATACTCGAGCAACCTGAGTTCGATCCCTGGTGCCGGCACCAATGAAATTGTTAACTTTGAGTGCTGACCTAATGTCAGCACATCAAGGAAAACATCGTGAGGAAACCTGCATATTTTCGAAATAATAACAAAAAACAAATATTTCGAAGATAATATGTGAAGCCAATCAGCGTGGTGGACTATGCTCTGATACCCTCTGTACATAGGAGGCCTTTACCCAGCAGTGAGACATGTATAGGCTGATACTTTACTTTTTTTTACTTTTTATGCAATCATACTATGTCACTGTCTATATCATTGAATAGGTCGTGGGGAGATTTTTCGACCTTCAGATGAGCTCGGATGTTGGGCGAGGCAGTAGCTTATCTTATCGCTGCGAATGGTGCTTGCACTTTTAATCTTGTCAACTTTTATGAGGGCAGATGAGAAAGTTTATTTATATTTAAGAAGTTTATCTGAAACATTATTTACTATGTTTAAATAAATGTTAAGCGACATGGCACACACGCGTACTTTCTTATTCCGCGATAATACTAGTTTCCGAGTGCGACCTCGCATACTAAAAGATGAATGAGCGAATGAATGAATTAATAAATGAATATACTTAATATACTTTATTGTACACTACAACTGATATTGTATAATCAACAACAAAGAACATGAATCTGTTCAATAGGAGGCCTTATCGCTGAAAAGCGATAACCTCCAGGCATCGTATTAAAACAAGGATGAATTTTAGTATTCCCGTTTTCTTTACTAGCGAAATCTGACGCCTGATTACAACCCCACTTGTTGTCAAGTGGACTGGCACATTTCGCTGTCTAGTGTGTGATATCTAATAATTAATGCGCGAACACGTTTTTTCGAGCTCCTTTAATGTTGAAACCCCAATACCAAATAGAATGTACCATAAATTTACTTTAAAGTTAATTGAAAATTTATTTTATAACTCTTTTGGTTTCTATTTTGCTTAAAAGCTGAACGCAAATACATGGACGACTGTTATGAAGTAACAATAATAAGTTTTGCATCTAACGTGTCGAACGAGGTAGAGAGAAATCTGTCTCCTATATCGAAAAGTAAAAGAGGTGATTTAACTACATCAGAGAGTAATGTTAAATAATCGCTTTTGCCAGCGTGCACTCATCTCGCAACTAATCAAAATGACTACTAGCTACTGTCTAACATACTAACTGTAAAGGAAATAAAGTAATTATATAATAACAATGAAGCCCTTTTTATTTTGTTTGTTGGATTTTATGCAATCATAGGTGTTAAGTGCACACCCCTAGCCACTCCTAACCATTTGGACTGAACCCTAGACGGCTTAGCCTGCTACAATTAAGCATTCAAATAACATAACATAAAAAAAACAACTAACTGTTAACCGGAGGGGTTGACAGAGATTGAGAACATCTTTCTTGATCCATACACCTCTATGTCACCTTTCCAAGACAAATCAACGCAATGGATTTCAATCGTTAAGTCTTTATTAAAACTAAGCCCATATTATAACTAACACCTTTGATTATATTATTCTAATGTATCAATTTCACTGGACTAGTACAAACGTGATGAATCCTATGCAGACGAATGTCTTTTCATGTGAGGCTACCATCGGAAAATGTATGCCGTATGTATAAAGGCGCTGGTTATCCCCGTTATCTTCCGTCGTAAATAGTTGGACAGATTTCCATTTATCAACTAATGTATGGTCTGCAGCGATGGCAGCTCTGGGCAAGCGCCGTTACATCGTTATCCCAGCGCATATATGCGCGTGGGCTGATGCGCCCGTCGTGAATTATAACTCACTATAAAGTAAGCGTGCGACTAAACAAAGTTCCATTTCGATTTATTAGCGAGAGGAGTCTGCCGTCGGTTCGTCTAAATCAACCTCAGTTTAACGATCGCACGCTGATGAGATTTACGTATACGTCCGTTCAGATAACGTTACCGTCGGTCGAAATAATTGTCTCGATTTTGGGGAACATTTTCGTATGACGCCTTCTTATGTAAGGCTCCGAGAACTCCTTTCCCTGGGGCAATGTTGACCAATTGTGGATGCGCAACTGTTTTTATCTTTTATATGTGGCGGATATAATAACAAGTAAACATAAATTCACGGCACTATACTTACGGCGTTGGCAGGGTACGTGCCTTTTCTGAGCGGCACGGACGTGCCCCTCTTACATGGGAGCAAACGTATTCCGCGAGCTCAAGTTGGCCCCCGGCCAAAGACGCGACAGGAGCAATGCGATCGGGATATTAAGCATCGAGTGGCGAAGTAAGAGAAACGTCTAGAATAAACAACGGCGGACGGATGTAGCGTTCAACGATACAGCAACTCGACGTCGACCGTTAACCGTAAAAACAACCACCCACTAAAGAACGACAACATTGAATTTGTCTTTATTAGTTCACAGTAAAGCCTTTGTAGCAATTGGGAAACTACAGTGCGTATGGTTCTGCTTTGGTTGTGGTCCTTGTGGTTCGAATTTGAATATGAAATCCGTTGGTTTTTAGCGTTCCGTACCCAAATTGAAAAACCCTATTATTGAGACTCTGCTGTCTGTCATCAGGCATCGCATGAGCCGTGATAAAAAAGTAGAGTGAACTTTATAGTAGGTGCAAATCTTATGGGTTCGCTTCACCGACATACTAAAGTTCACCGTAAATTAATGTTAACACTATATGTATATTTATTTATTGTTATTACACAGCGTCAAGCTCTCAATTGACAGATTTTTAATAAATTCAGTATGTTAAAAAAGATCGAATTATTCAAGTTCTCAAAACTGTAGAGTCCTCAGCTGAATGCCACAGAGTAAACTCGTCCTAACTACTTTACTGTCGCAATAAGCAGTTTCCCAACTTTAAGAGAGAAGTCGATTCGGGCAACTGCATTTGGCCGTGATTTACTCAGCCGGCCGTTTAACGTTAACTGACTTGTAGCTGCTCTCAACTTGATGCCGTCTTTGATTTGAATTTAAGATTTACCGCTTTCCGATATTCCTCGTATCTCATTTATCTATTTTACGCACACAGATGCCAATTAACGATTGCCAGGAAAATCACCGTTATAAAACAACTGCCCCTTAAAAGCGTTTGTTTATTGCAATCGTAAAGTTTTATTAGGCGTTAGAGGTTTCCCGGAGCTTAACGTGTAACCTAACTATTGTACGAGCTGATTATTACTAATATTGCGGCTAATACATGACTTTATAGGTAATTGTACTTTATTTATTTGCGTAGTAGAACCAAGTCATTCATGGAGTGTTGCATGAACTGGCAAGTGTGGTAACCGGGGTACGACGATTCTTTTTTTTTTTATGGAGAAAAGGGGCAAACGAGCAGGAGGCTCACCTGATGGTAAGTGGTCACCGTCACCTATGAATGAACACCTGCAACAGAAAAGGGTTCTATTAAAGGTAGACGACGCATCTGCAACCCCACAGGTGTTGTATATGTCAATGGGTAGCGGTGATCGGTTAACATCGCGAGAACCGCCTGCTCACTTGCCACCTTTTGCGTTTAAATTATCAGTCTAGAATTTCATTTTTGTATTAGAAGTGGGGGCGGCACAAAAATAGAGCATTGCATTTGTGTAATTGTGTTAAAATGTTTCGTTCTTGTTTGCTCTATCTATGGCTTAATTTTAAAATAGATTTTGTCCTGGTTTAGCTTTCAGTCATGCGGATTATTGTTTTATACTTTATTTTTTACCATTCAATTCACTTCTACTGACGATACGATACAATTAAGTTTCCCCTTTAACGCCAATGAATAAACGAAGCTTGCCTTTTCTCATTTAAATTCGACGGATGTCTATACTAGCATAAAGTTAATACGCTCACGAAGAATCGAATAAAATATTTTGATTTCTCTTCAGCAACAAGGTGCCTTTGGGACAATGCCGAGTGTTTTGCAACACTCCTTCGGGCGACGGTGGCACCAGCTGTTGTTTAAGAATGCCCATCGGCTCTCAGGCGCAGCTGATTGCAACGCCACCTGCCTCGGACATTTCCAACTTGTTTAATTTGTCACAATAAACAGTCGGTTATGGGCATCGTGGCAATTGCGGGCCGTTAATTAATTATGCACATTGGGTGTTTTATGTCGTGTAGCAATGACAGCTGCGGTTTTGATTGGAGAGAGAGCGGAGGTCTTGTAGGTTTATCTGAGTATACATACATATTATGTAGGCATACTTATTTTCATGATTAGTATTTATTATTCGGTGACTCCGTGGCGCAGTCGTCAAGGCATTGGCTTCGACGTCGGAGGTCGTGGGTTCGATTCCCACACGGTACAACTATTTGTGTGACCCACAGATAGTCGTTTCGCATCTGGGTGTTTGTGCGCGTGAAATTTATGTATGTAAAACGTCCTTGCAACACAGGATAATGTTATCCTTTAGTGAGGGCAATGATTAAAATAAAAAAGAAATAAAAAACAATTCATTATTATTATTTAAATAGCTAACTCTTTTCACGAACAAGAAATAACGCAACAACCTGTGGATAGGTTGAAATGCTGAAATTAAATTTGATTTTTACTACTATTTGGGATATATTATAATGTGAAGAAGGTTTTCGACAAAAAATCCTTTCATAGAGGTAAGCGACGCCATGTTATAAGTGTAGATTTCATGATTCTTTACTCAATGGTAGCAGCTTCATAGCGTAGACAATTTTATGAATGCTTATATTATTTTAGTTTACCTTTTAATCTATTACATTAAACATGAACTTTATATGTAGAAGAGCAATAAATAAAATCAATATTAACTTTCTTACGTACACGGTAAGCAAGAAAAGAACCATCTTTCGTATCTATCCTAAGAACCATCTTTCGTATCTACCATATTTCGTTTATTACTTTTTGCTCCCTAACATTTTATTTATAACATTATTTTATTAAAATCCATGGAATGGAACTAAGGACATTAACACATTAAAACCTGAATAAATTAAACTTTATTGTATTAAACGATGCACTTACGTTTTGTTACACAAATGGACGAAACGTTTTCGAATCTGCGGGGGTCCCGCTTTTTAAAGGGCAATGCGTACAAAATAGACCTTTTTGAATGTATAACATGTTTAATTAACAACATATCTATTCGTTGTTTTATATATTTTTATAGCGTAATGAATTATAACATTTTATAATCATAATCCGTACTTGGAAATGTCAAACACATTATCATAAACGACAAAACGAGTAGGTACCTACGACGATATACGTTGAAACTTGAACTGAGTGTGCTTTTATTTTTGTTGTAAGTTCTAGGCTACTTCAGCTCGCTGTTAAATCTTATTTTACTCGTAATAAATAGTTACATATTTTTTTTATAATTACAGTGTGTTTTTAAAAACACATCTAAATCGACTTCAAAGTTGAAAGATTCATTTCAATTTTTTTAAAATCAAATTTATTAAAATCATGCCGTTTGTTTCAAAACAAACGGCATGATTTTAATAAATTTTGTTGTTTGTATTAGGCTCCCAAACTGGCCGGTTTAACATCAATTATGATTAAATCTTTGGTTTCAAGTAAGACATTTCGATTTCGAGGAGGGTTCAAAAGATTGATATATGGGTGGTTCAAAATATGATTTGAATACATATTATATATGTTACGAATGTATGTATTGAATATCAAACATAAGATTTCATTTTAATTAACAGGGGCGAAGTCGTGGGCATAAGCTAGTTTAAAATATAAATATTTATTGTCTATATGGATAGATAGTATATAAAATGATATTATGGTACTTCCTGCGACATAATAAATTTGATTGGCATGATATTTAGTGTTTCTCGTAATTCTGTATTCACGGGTGGTATAATTAATAATTATAAGTATATAGCCATCTCATTATTATTATTAATTGCTAGCTGCTGCCCGCGACTACGTCTGCGTGAAATAGGATGAAGGCGTAACATTCAGACAGAAAGACAGATATACATAAGGTATGTATATAAATTATAGATATGATGTTTTATTCTGATGTATAAGCTATATTACTGTAAAGTTTTATTAATATCCATTCAGTAGTATTTGCGTGAACAAACATCCATCCATACATACAAACTTTCGCGTTTATAATATTAGTAAGGAAGTCAGGATTTGGTTTTAATTGATTTTATTTCGTTACGTTAATTGTATAATTTTCCTGGGAGTATTCATAAATGAAAAACAAACAAACATTTGGTGCTATAGCCAAAGAAATCCCGACTGAGGAGTCAGTAAATTTTCATAGGCCTAGTGGGTTTTGAGCTGTTACTGGGGCCATCACTATCCCATGACCGATTGTAGACGTAGATTAATGTACACTTACGACTGCGTGTAACAAAAATTGATCAGCTTTGGCGGGATCGAACGGGGCGAGTTTCGGCTGCAGAGGGGCGAGTTGCGGGGGAGGGGGGCAACAATGCGGCCGGGGTATTGATCCGCCCCATGCCGTCTACACTCAACGTTAGCGGTGGCTACACGGCGGAACACCCCAGGACTTTCCACAAATGGTTCGATGATCATTGTGATGATCAAACTGAGGTTTAAAGAGATCTCAAGTGAGGTTGATAGTTCTCACATTTTGTTAGAAAAATTTCTCCCAAACTTCTCTGGGGTTTCAATTTCCAGTCCATAGATTTGACACTGCACTTGACTCCCAACTTAATGTACCAACATAACGACTAAGTAAACTTGAAGACTTAAGAGTTTTATTTATGTAAAGAAACTTTGGTTTTCTTGTTTTAATACAGTGTAACAATCAACGTTGCGTTTACAACCTTTGAAGACTACATCACTAATGTAACGGTAGGAATGGTCAAGCGTTGGCCAGTTGAATTTAAAAAAATATACCAATTGAATTGATATCCTCCTCCTTTAGAAGTTGGTTCAAAAGTAACATAACCACTAACGAGACCGCTGCGCTGCTGATTTTGTACATAACTAATTTTAACCATATCAGAAAACCCCTAGTTGTTTAAACTATGATTAAAATTCAAAGAAACAAGAATTACTGTCATATTGCACCAACTTAATATACACCTCAACCCCGTAAATAAAAATAGTATACTGTCCCGGCTGGTGACAGAAGCCTAGCCACCCCAGTTGACACGCACAGATTGAAAGCCTCTGAGCTCCACTGCTTTATGCGAGCCTAGTACTTTTGCTTTCTACAGCACTTCGGAATAGAGTTGTGTGCCGATGTAGTTGGGTTATGAGAGACATTTTTATTTCTCCACAAACTTTGTATCGTCGGTGTGATGAGATTGGAGTGAAACACATTTTAAGTAAATGCACATGCTTTATTAATTACAATTACATAGCCATGGATCAATATTCTATTCCGTTTCTTGTTCATGTAATGTTTCTTCTTTGTTAAGGCTTTTATAGCTGTTCTTTAATAATTTAAAAGAGTTTAATAACAAAAAAGTTTTCCGATATAGTAAAGCAGGAAAGGTATAAGATGCATAAAGCTGTAAAATATTTTTGAATTGATATAAAGTGTACGCAAATGAACAATAAACCTACATATATATATTGCATCAATTTGTGTCACCGGTGCAAATCGGTCGAGTGGCCACTCGGCTAGGCGGACGGTGGAGCTAACTTTGAAACTGAGACGTTTACACAAGAACATACTAGAATATGATCTGAAGTTACTATACGTAAACAACGCTATATACGACATATCAGGCTTATACCTATCTTACGGTGGTAGGGCCACGCAGCTGCCTCGGCTGTTGCATATATATCACTGACTGTTTATATTTTTTTCTTTTTAAGCTAAATTTTTTCAAGCTAACCATCGGCTAGCCAAATGAGTGCAGCAGAGCTAAACCGATAAGAAGCTCCGCGATTTCGTTTTTATATAATTTGTAATTTTTATAGAACAATATTATCATAACGTCAATAATTAACAGTATTTCTGAGACGTGCGTTTGCAGAGCATGATAACTTACATTCATCTCGGTTCTATAATATTTATGGACGTATTATTTAACGACAAATGATTTTGATTGTTGCATGAAGATTAGTTGCATGTTTTTGAACGAATTTTTTAAAAACATTTCCCCTATTATAGGATGCCATCATCCTGTATTGTAGGGACGTTTTACATAGTTACCTTCGCGGGGACAATCACCCAGATCCTGAACTGAATCAACTTTAAGCCACACAAATACTTGCCCCGTGTGGGAATCGAACACAGGACAACCTGCGCCGAAGCAAATAGTTTAGCAATTGCGCTGCCGACTCATCTAATTCGAAGTACCGCTAAGTTACGTTTGCAATATGAGTACAGGTTGTAAACCGTCCATACATGTGTAATTTGATTTCAATACAGCTACGACTACATTTCAGTTATTATTAAAACAAAATTAATTAATGTCGAACAAAGTATGTATGTATGTTTCAAAATTTGTACACCAGAAATGTTTTATGTGATAGTACCCAAAAAATTGTCAAAATATTTACAGATATATTTTACGTAACATACCATTTATCTTATGTTAGAAGCAAAGTATTTGACATAACTATAATAAATTTATATAAGTTGCATGTATTCTAGTCGTAGGTTGACGTTAACAATAGGCCGTAGAGTTTTGATTCTATTGAAAAGTAAACAGTTGTCTAGAATTGATTTCTTGGATTACATCCTTTCCTATACTTCTATCTTTCAATCTTTATTAATGTAGCATTTACGTGCCATAAAATTTCAAACTCGAGTATTAATGGTTTGAAGCTTTGATTTACGAGACGTTTTTATTAATATATAATGCATTTTATTGAGCTGCCCCGTAACGGCCCATAACGCTTAAGGTCCTTAAGATTTATTATTCTTGAAACTATTAACCTGGAATCGTCGTTGTCTATACAACATAATGCCTACTGTCTACTGTAGACATGATTATTTATGGATGTTGTATATTTAAGTACTCATTCCTTAATGATTTCTCGGGTTAACGAGAATACTGCACATTGTTAAACAAAACTATTTCACGGAATAATCGTGTTTAGTTACAGCGAAATAAAACCTAAAATACAATAACTTAACAAACGGTGAACTTTACAGAGTACACTGTCACGATTAATTTTTAAGTATTCGCAATTTAATTAAATTGCAATCTATGGAAATTGACCTCAGTGACATTTAATTTAATTTGAGACATTCTGCAAGTTCAAAAAGTAGATATTAACTTCGGATTTGAGAAAGTGTGCATCTATATGCACGCTATACAGCGTGTCGTTACCATATGTCTAACGCTACTTGCCAATAATCATAAAAAAAGTATTAACGTTAAACAAAATTCATTATTAAAAAAAATATTTTTCAAACAAACTAATTAAGTAAAAAGGAAACAAAATTTGTAAAATCCTATACAACTCGCGCCACAGCGTCGTATTATAAGCCTCTCCTTCTAACAGTATGTTTTGTCTCTTTTAAATTCATTCAATCCATACATATGCTTTGTGACCTTTACAAATGAACTTTACGTTACGCTTTTATAGGTAAGGCTGTTCTAAAATTCTTTGTTTTAGAAAATTTATTAACTCTGTAAATATTGGTGTTTAAAGAAAGTAAATTTTTGATACAATTTTAAAAATGTATCCTCTATATGTGTGTTTATTTATTGTCGCGTTGGTAACGACACGCTGTATAAAGTTAGATAATGGTGGCTTCATTTTAACCGCCCTTTTGCACGTAATTTACAAGGTCAGCCGTTCTAGGGACAGATCCGACGACCCGAATGGCGTATTCGGTAGTGTACCCCTCTGCGCCAGAGGGTGTGGGTTCGATCCCCACTACTGGAAAAATATTGTGTGATGAGCATAGTGTTTTTCTAGTGTCTGGGTGTTTATATATCTATAATGTGTATTTATTTACAAAAAAAAAGTATGTTTAAGTATGTCTATCAGTTTTCTAGTACCCATAGCACAAGCGTTGCTTAGTTTGGGATTAGACAATTTTGTGTAAAAAAAAATCCTAAATTTTATTTATTCTAATGTAATAAAACGTAAAGTGTACAGAGTGACTTCTGTCACGTGTGGTCCTAATTCTTTCCCGGACTTTATAAGCTTAAAGCCTCAGATCGGTTCGCGAGTACTTGTAGAAAATCGGTGGGTGGTGTACAAAGGGCTGTTGGGATGCGCAGTGCGGCGCCGTCGAGGCGCGCGCAGGGCTGCCACTCTCCTCTCGGTCAATTTTATAATTTGTACGTTAAAAAACGACCCTGATATATCTTTTCAGTTTTTATATCGATATATTGCAATGTATGAATTCTTGATTACATAACACATATAAACACGACATTATATTATGTTTCTAACCACCATGAAAATGCTTTAAGTATTGTAACTGTAATAGTTATGATATTTGTAACATTTTCATAAGTAATTATTTTTAATCAAAATGAAAGAGATGATTTATTAGTAACTTTGTATTTCTTCACTTCACTTTGTATTTCATTAAAAACGCGGTCTATGTATCAACCTACTAAAAGAAATAACGGCTGTAATATTTTCTACAAAATTTTCTATTCCACCGTGTTTTTCATTTGTTTAATTTTCATCTGCTTAACCGTACACTCAATATTTTACAAATTTCTACGACTCTACTTTTTATCCACTAGAAAATTCCACACATTAAAACGCGAAACATTTGTTCGAGCGCGAATGCTACGCGCCAGCCCTACGGCGAAACCTAATAAAACCGGTTATGGGCCCTACGTGACGCGTGCTCGGGTAATGAGTTTTCGGTGAAAGCGTAGAGACGGGGCTAGCTCGTATCGACAACTAGTTCAGCCGTACGTTCTATCGATCATTCGCCATCGTAGAAGTGAAGTACAAAAGCGAAAGGTGCAACCGGACAAAAATGTCATACATTTATGCAGCCACGAAGCAACATTCTCTTCTAATGGTACCATGGCTTGACAAGATGGAGGTGTAATAGAACTTTAACTGCGGAAGGGCCGAATAGCCTGGTCCGTTTGTGGGATTCTTATATTTCTGCGTTTCGTCTGGCGAGCGAGACAGTGGGGCCACTTATTAGAAGGTGGCAACGACATTTGAAACTTTACGATCATCACTTAGCATCAAGTGAACCACCAGCTTGCATGCTCCGTTCTCACATAAAATAACGTCTGTGTCTGTACTTTTGCGTTTCTTCTAGCGAGTGATTTTACAAGCTGTACTTTTTTGAAAATGTGGGGAAAACATCTACGCACGCGGGGAATATATACTCGCGCGGGCATGGACGGGTTATATCGAAATCGCACCGTCTAAAGTCCCCACGATGTTCCACCCACGGTAGAACATCGTGGGGACCACCAAGTGTCGTGGGTGCCCATGGGCAGACCTTACTGATCAGACAAACTCTGTACTCAGTTTCCAAGCCTTTAATTAACACAATTAAGTCTTATATGGAAACTACGGCAAATCTTCTCGTCAAATATACCTCAATGTTTGAAGACTAAAGTCTTCAATCAATGTGTGTTGCCAGTGATGACCTACGGAACCGAGACGTGGTC